GAGAGAGAGAGAGAGAGAGAGAGAGAATGAGAGCAAAAGCACGAGAGAAGGAGACAAAGAGAGAGAGAGAGAGAGAGAGAGAGAGAGAGAGAGAGAGAGAGAGAGAGAGAGCAAGTGCAAGAGACTGAGAGAGAGACATAGAAAGATAGATAGATAGATAGATAGATAGATAGAGATAGATGGAGAGAGCGAGAGAGAGAGAGAGAGAGAGAGAGAGAGAGAGAGAGAGAGAGAGAGAGAGAGAGAGAGAGAGAGAGAGAGAGAGATGAAACACAGTACTTCTGTCCACATAGTGCAGGGTACTTTTGTAATTAAAAAAAACATATCTGCTTAACAGTCAAGTTATGAAAAGTAAGAAACATACTTCTATAATTCATATTCACAGTCACAAATCTGTATGATGAGCGACTTGTCTCCGTAATGGCGCAACCAATAGCACAAACTGGTTTTGTAAACTGTTCTGTATTTGTGTAATATTGTGTATTTAGGAATGTATCTATGCATGTATTTATGTATGTTCGTATTAATAATTATGTATTTATGTATGTATCTGTATGTTAGCCATTGTAAACCAAAGTGCCCTTCTGGGACAAATAAAAGTGTAATTTATTTTTATTTATTTATTATTTTTTATAAGTCGGGAGTGTTAAAACTTTACAAAAAGTCTTTCAGCTCCACGAATAGTATACATGCACTTGAGCATATAACTTTTTTTTCTAGAACATATCGTACTCAAGACACACTTAATGAGCTAGTTTTTCCCCCTGCCTAAGTTACAATGTATACGTCACTGGAAGTTTACTTACTCGCCCTTCCATTTCCGGGAGCAAATGTTCGTTCTCCCAGACAGGACAACGACGACCGGGGTTTCCTTCATATCACGTCCTCGCGGTCTGCGTCATCGGTGGCCAAAACCTCGTTGTTTTGCTCAGATCCGAAGGGATAGCAATTCAGTCTGACCAGTCTTAGTAAATTTCTGACCTCTGTTTAGAAGTTACTGGCCTTGCGAGAGAGTCGGTGAAGTTTGTCCTCATTTGTAGAAGCTAAAGAAAGGTTGTTGAAAGTGTTTTAGATACCGATAAAGACTATTGAGAACGCACCATTTGATTTCTCTAAAAATTCATTTTTAAAGTGCCGTTTAGTTCACATGGACGTGTGTTCGCTGGAGGTGCCGCGTGTACGAATTTTTGAAAGGTAAGATATTGTCGCAATTTTTAATATTCTACAAAAATCCGTAACAAATATGAACGAGACACACATCCAAATACTGATAAACTTTTATCGAGAGGTGTCAGTTCGAATCCATTTTTATAACTACGCACCAGGAATGCTTGCCATTGAAAAGGGAGTGAGACAAGGAGACCCCATATCACTCAAACTATTCACAGCAGCAGTCGAAGAATATTCAAAACGGCATCGCCTCCAGTAAAAAAAAAATTCTAATAACTGGATAACACAAAAAAGATCCGAGGTTCGCCGATAAGGTGACGCTTTGCACTGAAAGTGAAATATTAACTTCAACATCATAAAGAATAAGAGAAAAAAAAGGCCTTAAAATCCACAAAGATAAAATCAAATAATATGTACATGACGAATTACAGCAGCGACAAAACGGTTGCTAAAGAAAACAAGAACAATGAAAAAGTGACAGATTATAAATACTAGGCCCAAACAATAAGTACGGGGGACTGAGCAAATACTGAGGTGAACAAAAGGCATGTGGCTTGAAATTGAAGTTACTTTGGAAGAAACAGCGACATGTTTGTTTACCAATCGAAATCTGCCGATATCACTAAAAAGACAAGTTTTCATTCAGTGCCTTGTCCTAGCAATAAGCTATGGGCAGACAGACAGACAGACAGACAGACAGACAGACAGACAGACAGACAGACAGACAGACAGACAGACAGACAGACAGAGAGACAAGCAGACAGACAGACAGACAGACAGATTGATAGCCGTACCAACAGATAGGAAGACAGAGGTTTTGACATACAAAAAATAGGCAGACAGAGGCAAACGGCTCCTCTCTTTGCGAGCTGATCTAAAATGGCTCTTTGTAATTTACGAGTCGCCACCTTCACGATGACCTGAAGTATGTCTAGGAGGGCGTTAAACGCCACAAAAGAAAACAGAGCAGTTTCACTCTGCACCGTTTTCCCCGGTTAGCTTGTGGTCTTTCAGACATAGCGCAGAGGCGAAGCAGTTAATCAATGCGTCATTGCCCGCCCATAAATCTTACGCTGTGAGCATGCTTTCCGGCCCCCGAGGTGCGTACAACTCGTTGTAAGAATAATGGCTCCCTGGACATTCTCACTCTCTCGCGTCAAATGAAAGAGAAAGCTTTTACTATTTCCCGTGATCCCCACGGAATTCAAAAGACATGTAGATCGATTTCCAATCAATTCATCGATGAGGGAAGTGCTGATACGGCCTGCTCAGAGCTCTTCGCTCGGCCTTTCTGTTTCACTCGCGTCGCCGTATGCGTAAAGTTTGTCGGACACCTGGTCACACCTCATCTCCCAGAATCTCGTGTGTGAACCACTTTCGTTTTAAAAGGTTCGACGATTTCTGCACTCGTAGTCATAGTTGTAGTCAACGAATCTCAGCGAGCGTAAAAAGAAGAAGAATGTTTTCCACATCGATATTGGTTACGTTTGGTGGCGCCGTTGATCGTTACTGGGGAGTAAAGTGCGTGTGAAATGCAAATAGATGTTTACATTTTTCACTGGATTTGTCTCTTAATTCGATTATCTACTCCATAGAGGCATCCAATGACACCCAGGCTACTTGTTCCATGGCAGTTCTGATTCTTTATCTCTGCAGCACGGTGAGCGTAATATTAACTCAACACTCGATATCCTTGATTTACATTGTAATCTTACAAAAGTGTGCTTCTGGGCATTTTAATCTAAAAAAAACAGATTAACAAAGCCCAGAAGTAGGGGTAATAAGCACTTTCGTCTTGCGCTTTGGTCTATATGTTGTCGAGGAGAAGTACATGTAGCTACTCTCATATCACCCAGTCTCTCAAGTCTCAAGAGTGCAATCTGTCCTTCTGTCTTATTTTAAATTTACAATAACACCAAAGTAAAGAGCCCGGTCGTTACATCTATATTCAGCAACAATATCGAGGCCTGACGGGTAATTTCTCATATTTTGTGCTGTATTTGACTTTAGGAAAGCTCAACGAGGTCTATTTGATATATTTCAAGTACGTTTAGATGTCTCCAAACAAGCCCATAAGCTCTATGGCCCTGCATCAGATCAATCTGAGATCAAACGTAACCGACTTTTTACCTCTTCACCCAGAAGACAACAAAAACAAGACCAAAGAGGAGTTAATTTATTCTATTGACGACTCTTCCTGCTTGAAAGCAGAACAAGTTAATATTCATGAGAAAAATAAAGGCCCCCAAGAACTCGTGATTTTCCTTTAGTTCAAGGTTCAAGGTGTTCCACAGAACGCTCACCAGTCGATCGTAGGTTCACTTTCCAATGAAAGGAAATCGAAATCAACCTCTTTTCTAGCTTTATGTAGTGAGAGCTCAAAGCTCTGCTCAATACTGTCTCTTTTCTAGCATGGTCTAAAATTGGACGGAAATCAAATCGTTTCTTTCCCGGTATGGTATGATGTGGGATAGAAGTCTACCTCAACGCCTCTTTAAAGATACATGTACAACAGAATCTTCTTAAAAAACAACTGAAAAACACTTCTTAAAAAAGACGTTTAACTATAATTAATTTGTAGCTTTCTGTTCCCTCTTTGTACACTGGCAATTGTTTTGATCAAGCTAGTTCGGGGAGAGGGGGTTTAAAAATATCGACCCCCCCCCCCCACTTTGATCGTTTCCTTTTCTCGCTATACATTATTCTTCTGCACCCTGACACGTTCCACAGTCTACTGTGTATAACGAAGATCGAGGGAAGGGTGAAACAACCAGTCGTTAGCAGACAATAACTATTCCTGACGTAGTATTACGCAACTAGGTCTGTACTTTGCAAGTACCCACTGTTTTACGATGTGACTCATGTGTGTAACTTTTAAATCCAATAGGGATTCTCAGACTTCCTTTTAAAAACACCTACCAGTATTTACAGAGTTTAATCGTCCACATATAATCGTTTGTATATTTGATCAAGACTTTAGTCCCCCCCCCCCCCCTTTCCCTTTTATCGTTACCTTTTTGAGACTAGACCATTTTAAATCTGGTCAGCAACTTGTTGAGGACTTAACATGTGACAGTTTAATTTTTTTAAAATAGTATCCACGACCTTGAAACATTCAGTCACTCAAGTGTCAAACATGTCCCCCATGAATGATTATAGGAAGAAAAAATGGAAATAAGAATCCAAAGGGTCAATGGACGATTAACAAACCGCAGAGAAATCTTTGTGTCCCCGAAGTTTTGGCCTTCACCCAATCAGACTCAACGTACCTGCAGGTACTCATGTTCGGTCAAATGGGTACAAGAGTAAACCCAAGTAGACTATCGCCTCTTGTAACACTTGAGGCGGGCATCTGTCCAAATCTAGAGGAGAATTCATCTTTGGCGCTGATCGCTTAAGAACAAACGACGTCATTGGGAGAAGATCGATGGCGTAGATGTATCGACCAGGAGTTGTTGAGATGATTGGGGCCTTGGTTGAGTCCCCCCACGGAGGCTGACGGGCGGGTGGACGGTGCCAGAAACCCATCAGAGGTAAGAGGATTTGGCAACTGCGGCTGGCTGGGCCGAGAGATGAGGACTCACCGTGACCCGGAAGCTCTCTCCACCAGGGGGTGCGTGCGTCACAACCAGGAGAGGCCACTTCCGGAATCTTCACACTGGAGTCTGAGTCATCTTCGTCCACTTCACTGTACTTTCTAACCAAGTTAACGACGGCGATATGAAGCACCTCCCCTGCCCCCCCCCCCCCTCTCGCACATTCCCCATCTACAAAATGAAAAAACGAATTGAGAGAGAGAAAGAGAGAGAGAGAGAGAAAAAAAAAAAGAGAGAGAGAGAGAGAGAGAGAGAGAGAGAGAGAGAGAGAGAGAGAGAGAGAGAGAGAGAGAGAGAGAGAGAGAGAGAGAGAGAGAGAGAGAGAGGGAGGGAGAGAGAGGGGGGGGGGGCTTGTTTTTTTTCGAAGGGGGGGGGGGGCAAAAAAATTACATCTCATAAATATCAAAAGTAATAACAAGCAAAAACCCACAACAAACAAACAAACAAACAAACAAACAAACAAACAAACAAACAAACAAACAAACAAACAACGTTTATCAATTTCGTCATTATAAGGTATATGAATATACACATTTTTGTAAAAGTCTTTTTTTTTGAGTGACCTCATGCAGCTGGATTTTGTTGGAAAATTGATAGCTTTGCATCCAATGTTCGTCCGCGTAAAGAAACTCTTCGAGTTTGGTCGTCACGTCACATTTAAAATTCCTGAGTCGTGTTGGCATAAGGCTATGCTTTCAATATACAAGACGTTTGAAAACAAAGGACGACTTTATGGTGCTTTCTAAAAACAAACATACTTTAACTATTCCACACCCCCGCCCCTCCCTCCCCCCTCACACACAAACACATACCTCCAGAGGTAGGCACTGTTCCGTCACTACAGACGATAGTGTTTGTGCAGTATTGATATAAATTGCCAAAACGTATACATTGATATACATGTAGGTTAATCAGGTCAACATGCTCCGAAGAACGCTAGTCGATGTGAGGGCAAGGAAGTGATCGATGCTGTATTCTCTGTTGCGTCAACTTTTGTCCCTTCAGATGTTGAAATAATGTGTCTTCGCTGCTATGCCTTTAGTTTTGAGATTGGTATCTAAAAAGCCTTAACACTATGCTCTTTCTCTCTTATTAAATACCTTTTCCTCTCGATCGACCTATCTGTCATGGTAGATTTGTTTGTCTTCTTCGCAAAAGTCAACTAGAGTGTGACTCACACGAACGTGTACTGTTTTATCGAGTAATTCCATCTTTCTGCGAAGATCCACCTCACACCGTCACTGGCTGCGCAATCAGCCATTGTGTAAGGAACCCAGATAATGGCCTCATGCAAGTAAGGGCAATCATAACAAAGCTTTTCGTGTGGGGGCGCAGAGAAATTATCGCAAAGCCATATGTGCACTCCTGACCCTATTGACACATTCTCCCCCCCCCCCCCCCCCAACACACACACACTCACAGTTGCACTCACAATGCAAACCTTTGTGTACGGTTAGCTCTTCCCAGTTGATAACGGTCAAGGTTATTTTCAGAGGGTGCTTTCCGGAAATCCCAGCATCATGTAACATGGATAAAGTGAGATTAAGGAGGGGGCGTGGGAGGACAATTCTGTTCGATCCGACAAGTGCCGTGTGGGAGTGATCAAATCAGCTCGTCACAATGGTTGTTGTACAAGCTGGTCCGAGGAGTACAGACTTAATGTGTAGTAGAGGACACCTCCATCGCACTTACTTCATGTTCTCAAGTACACAATGAATAGCAACGGCCACCCCCGCAGTGTCGTGCACAGAAGAACGCTATCATCCGAGTCTACTACATGTGCATAAATAGTTACCTTAGAATTACAAAGATCGACCGGCTCAGAACCTAGCTTTGAAAAATTTGACGTAAAAAGTTTTGAATTCTCACAGCATGTCAAGCTTTTTCAAATAACGACTCCGAACAACCTTACTACTTGTCATGACGCGGTGGAATCAGACGCTGGTCAATTTTTGGGCATTTGGAGTTATTGGTATAATTTTATAGCCTGTCCATTTGCTTTGCTTCTGATTGAAAAAAATATTCGTTTATCTTGGATAGAAGTCAAGATACTGACAATTGAAGGAGTTGTGGGTCGTCTAGTTTGAGAAGTAAAATTAGTGAGAAAATGGCCGCCTAAGTTGTATTATTTCCTTAGCTTGTGAGAGGGTGGAAACTGAACATGTATTTCCATTACGCCGTATAGCAACGTTTTTCAGTAAAATCCACACAAAAATGTGTATTTAATTAACATAAAAGATGGTGAGCCAAAAAACAAAAATTTAATACAATTTCCTAAACCTGAGGAAAAGTGCTAGTTTCTTCACTTTCATTATTTTGACGAGAGCCTGATTTTACCACGCAGCCTCACATTTTGATAGAGCAGACAGAACATTAATTTGCTTTCATGGTCTTAGTAAGTCAATATGGCCAAACATGTCAGATAGAACTTTGTAATTCTAAGGTAGCGAAAAAGCACTTCTGAAAAAGCAGTTTCACCTCTCCAGGTGCCACATGTGCATGTAAGTCAATGTTGTTTCAGTTTTGCTTGCTCCTTCTCTCATCCTCTCATTAATAATCTCTTTCCTCTTTCATTACTCCTTCTCTTTCCACTTCCTCCCATTCACTCCGTTCTAATGTTTAATATCCTGCCTTTTCCTTACTCTGTTTTTCACTCTCCTGCCGCCCCCTCCCTCTGTTTCCTCTCTCTTTCATTCTATCTCTCTGTCCCCCCCCCTCTCTCTCTCTCACTCTC